CACGGGGGAGGGGGCTTATGGGGGGAAACAAGAGGATGGGGAGGATGGTTCACTGGGGTAGGTATTGAGAGGGAGAAGCAGCATATCAGAACATCTGTAGCTTTTGGGGTGCACCATGGGGGTGCACTGCTTGCTCTGCAGGGAGCTGGGGAGACACCAGGGTCTCCCAGCAGTCCCACCAAGCACCGGGCTCTTGCTCTTCTCTCAAAGGTTGCCCAGCTGCCTCTGAGCCTGAAGGACAAGGCCTGGCACCACATCTGCGTAGCGTGGACCACCCGGGATGGCAAGTGGTCAGCGTACCAGGATGGTGAGCAGCGGGGCGCCGGTGAGAACCTGGCCTCCTGGCACTCCATCAAGCCCCAGGGAGTCCTCATCCTGGGCCAGGAGCAGGTATGTACCGGCTTGACACCAGGAGCTGCCAGGCAGCATAGCTCTGGCAGGAGGGAAAAGCCCCCAAATGGGGTAGGGGGTGTGTGGGCAGGAGTGCCCAGCATGGTGTCCTGTCTCTCCTGCCTGCTGCTCTGACCTCCAGGCACTCATTGTCTCTTCCTTCTCCCTATTCCTCTGGCCTCCATTTGCTCCCTGCCTTGTATTGCATCTTTTCCATGCATCCATCCCCTCACCTCCTTGCCACTGAGCATCAAGCTCTGTTTCTCCCCAGACTCTCCCTCTCTCCCTTGCCCTCTTTCCCCACTGGATGCATGTTTTCCTCTTCTCCTCATCCCTGTCCTCTTCTGCTCTTTCCCAGGACACACTGGGAGGCCGCTTTGATGCCACACAGGCCTTCGTTGGGGAGCTGGCACAGTTTGGCGTGTGGGACCACATGCTGGCACCAGCAGAGATCCTGGGCTTGGCCAACTGCACCTCCCACCTCCAAGGAAATGTGATTCAGTGGGATGACCAGGCAGTGGAGGTCTTCGGAGGTGCCAGCAAGAGGAGCTTCACTGCCTGCGAGGAAGGGAAAAAGGCATGAGTGGCCCCAAGCCCTGTCCCCAGCGCCAAGGAGCCCAGTGGCAGGAGCCCTTTTCTCCCCTCCCAGACCAGTGTAAGCCTTGATGGGGTGATGCCTGAACCCCCTGCACTGGTGTCGTAGGAGAGAGAGGGGCCCCTGGAAGACTCCATGTTGCCCTTGTGCTGGTGGTGTGGCTTGTCCCCACTCCTGGCACACCTGCCCCTGGGTCTCATCTTGCCCCACTTCTGTTTTGGCAGGACCTTGCCGTACCTGCAGGTGTCCCTGGTCCAGCGAGGGTCCTCACCTTGTCACTCCCAACGGGAAGTGGGAAGGAGAACTCCATCTATCCCGAGTGCAGTCCAGCCTCAGTGGGATGCCAGGGTGCAGGCACCCCCTGAACAAATCCCCTTTCCTTATTTATTTCTAGCACCTCCACTGTCTGGTTTTATGAGCCACATTCCAGGATCTCCACTCCAGCCCCATCCCCTCTTCTCCTGCTGCCCTGGGTTTTCAAGTATGGGCCCAGGGACGCTGAGGGAGGATGGTGAAGAGCTGGTGGGGCAGCACTCCCCACCCTGCACCCCTTCCCCTGCCTCTGCTGCCTGTTTGGGGAGGGCTGCCCGAGGGGAGCCAGGCTTTTGAGGCAGAGGGAAGCAGAGTGCCCTCCCCAAGCTGGGAGGTTGGTCAGCCACCAAGGGAATGGGGGAAAGGGGCAAAGCATCTCCCCCAGCGCTGGCCGAGGGGGAAGGAGTGCAGCACTGCCATCAAAGGGAGTGAAAGCAAGGAAAAAAGGAGATGGAGGATGGTGGTGGTCAGAGGAGCCCTGCCATCCATCCCCCAGCCTTTTGGGTACTGAATTGGGTTGCTGCCCTTGGTTCCACCCAGATCTCTGCTCTTGGCAAATAACAGGCCGGCCACTGGCCTCGGAACTGGGTGGGGAGTGATGGGGCAGGCTGGTATTTACCCTGTGGAGTGCCTGAGAATACACTGATTCCACACCGTGTGGTCACCAACATCTTGATATGTGTGTGTGTATGTGCACATGTGTGTGTGTCTGGGGGGGAGGTGGGGTGGGAGGGTTATTCTGGGGGTCTCATGGTTGCTCAGTGCAGTGTCCAGCTTCCAGTGCTCCCCTTACCCCACGTCCCACTTTGTGCTTTGGGTGACAGCTGCCCCTGCCCAAGGGGGAGGCGATGAAGGCAGAAGGGACAGCTCTGCCACCCAACATCACCCCCCACCAGGGTCTCCACCAGCAGTGGGGTGGCTCAGCCTGCTGTGGGGGACGTGGCGGGGATGGGGTGCAGCCCTCATGCCAAGTGGGAACACTGTGACCTTGGTGCCCCTGATGAGCTGCCCCTCTCCCTCGCTCGCTCGCGCTTTCTCTAATGCACGTTCGTGAAAGGGCCCTGACACCAACCGTGTCGGGACATTTCTTTTGTACAGCTGATCGTGAACAATAAACGTGATGTTTTCTGTTCAAGCCTCCTGCAAGGTGCGCGGTCGCTGCGGGGATGGAGGGCACTAGCCAGCCCAAGCCCAGGTGTCCTTCCCCAGGTGCTTAGGGTTGCATCCCTGAGGGGAGATGGCATCACAGAAATATCATTGCAAGCATCTGGGGTCATTGCCCCAGAGGGGCAGGGAGGGGTGTAACAGTTGGGGCACCTTTCCTCTGCCTCGCTGGGGAGCAGTGAGGGGTACAGGCTGCTGCTGGAGGCTTTGGGGGAAGGACCTCTCCACAGAGGAGGAAGCCCCATCCTGACAACAGTGAAGCAGAAGCCAGTGGGAAATCATGGCCTCTAGGTCAGACTGTGACAGCAAGGAGCTCACATTGAGTATACATCTAATTAAGTACTAGTGATGAATTTCTGACCTAGCTAGGCACAGGAGGGTTCAGGCATGGCTCTTGAAGCTCCTGTTGCAGAGCAGCTCGTGAACAGATCTGCATGGTGCTTTTGCCCCTCAGTGGGTCCTGCCCCTCCTAAGAAAGGCACAACCTCACCAATATTTGGGGAACACAGAGCACAAAGCCAGAGGACTCAGTTTTCCCCAAGGCCCTGCCATTGCTAGCATGCTGGTGGGGTCTCCTCCCAGAGCCAGAACCATGCTCCCAGCTCTCACTTCTCCTTCTGGAGGGTATTTAATGCCATGAAACAAAGTCTGGGGCTCTCACCTTCAGCACATCTTCACAAAGTTGAGGGTTTGTTTTGAAGAAAAAGTATGTACTTCAGGTGGAGCATAGGCTCAAGGGCTTTGCTGAGCTGGAGGTTCACCCTCACATCACTAAGAGGAGAGGGTCCAACAGGTGACATCTGCTCATGTGCCCAAGTAACAGCAACATAATTAAGAAGGGCAACACTTTCTAGGAGAGGAAATGTCAAAAACCATTGCTGGGGTCACAGACTTAGGAGGAGATGAAATGTGGGGGAACTGATCCAGAAGACCCTCCTATTAAAACTGCAGAAGCCATGCAGGAGGGCACTTGGGGCTGCTGGCTCAGGCAGGAGAGATGCAGGAGGAGGAACAAGGATGGAACAGCCTGGTTGCTGATGTAGGCTGTTGGCATAAACCCTGTCTCTTCTGAAGCCTGGAAACCCAGCCCACGCTGACATTGTGTGTAAACCCTTCTCAGAAAAGCAGGAACAAAGTAGACACCAGGAGATGTTTGAGCAGGGACTTTGGTGCTGCCCTCCTCCTCCCTGCCAAACAATGCTGGCACAGTCCCAACCCCAGCCATGTCCCCGAGGTGTGTGGATCTGCCACTTCTGGAATAGGAGAAAGGCAGGAACTCGGCAACATAGCTTCTGCAGGGTGACCTCCTCTCTCCACAGAGGTTCATAGCCAGTTGGGCAGACCAGGGTTCACACAGAAAAACTTGAAAGAACTTACCCAGACCTTTGAAAAGCTTCCAGAAAATGCCTCCGTATAAGGTTCTTCGAGGAATGGAGGCATTATGGAGAGATTAGAAACTGGCTGGCACACACAAAATCAAGACCAGGAATAAATATTTGATTTCCATCCTGCCCTGTGGCTCTCTGCAGGAAGCAAAGGCTGCTTCTCACTTCCCTGAGGAGGAAGAGAGCAAGATCATTTCTGTTTGCTAAGCTGAGCCTTGCGAGAGCTCCAAACTTGTGACAGGGCTTAAAAGGTAGAGGAGACGACAAATCAATGGCATTGCTGGCTGGAAGGAGTAATTACAATGACTTACACATATTGCTTGCTTCTAAATTAACCAGGAGCACTCAGGAGAAGTCCTGCATCTCGCCATGAGCAGCAGACTGGAAAACAATGCGTTGTAGGCAGAAGAGATTAGGAACAACAAATTCCCCCCTTGGGGAAGCAGGTCAAGAAGGACATTTTTAACACCAGTGTGGAGAAGGTTTTGTCATTGAGGTAGGTGCTGCAGCTGGGCTGCTGTGTCTGAATATCCAAGACGGAGTGGAATAAAGTGGAGGGGACTCACTGGGCAGTGCAGAAGCAGGGCCTGGCGCAAGAGGAGATGGCAGGGGAGACAGGCAGGTGTGATACCACCACCTGTGTGCTCTCCTCTGTCTCCCTGCCAAAAGGCTGTTAACACATTTTGGAGAGAGGAAAGGGACTGCCATGCCCTTTCCGAATCCGCATGGCTCACCGCTGCAGGGCTTTCTGCAAGCCAAGGGCTTACCCAGACTCAAACATACCCTCCCTGCACCCCACAAGGGTTTTGTCATGCAGCAAAGAAGACCAAGTCAAACATGGCAATGGGAAACCTTCAGGCCTAATAGCTATTAATTACTGGGTTTGAAAAGGAAACGCTGAAATTCCCAAAACCCTCCAGCCCCTGCCTGTCTTTCCAGAGGGCACCACCAGCCATGCAGGCTCTGCCTTCCCATAGACATGGGCAGTCCTGGGGACCCTGCCTCAGAGTGGGCTTTGGGGAGCTCCTGTGCTCCCCAACACCTGCAACCTCAGATTTGGGTTCACATGCCACAGCTCCCTGCAGTGTGTCAACCTCCCGATCCCCTCAAAGAAGGCCAGCCCAGCCCATACCTGTCCCCAGGAGGTAACTTGTGAAGTCCCCATTACTCGCTCTGCCCTAGCAATGGGGAACTGCCTTAATTGCCTCCTTGCACCTCCCTGTCCTGCTGGGAGCTTCCTCCACTCCCTCCTGGAGCCAGGAAGGCTCATTACGGCTCGTGCAGCACTTGCACAAGCAACGTGCCATGATTCCAGAGCATCTGGCACAGGAACAGCCCCCGCACGGCTGCTAGTGCTGTGGCAACAGAACTTACTAGCAGTAACTGTCGTTACTAGAGGTAGTAGCTACAGGATCACATGTGGGACACTGCCTTTCTCAGCACACCAGGGGATCCAGCTGCCCCAAAGCAGGTTGTCCTATCCTCTGGAGCAGAGGGCTGAGCTGCTTTCAGCTGCCACTCATTCCTGCACACCAGTGTCCCCATCTCTGCCTTCCCACAGCTCAACACAGCATAGTGGGGCTCTGATCCCAGAGAAATGTGGCTTCAGCATCTCCGTGGAGCCTCCTGATTGCTCATCTTGCCTCCAGAGAGGTGCATCCATACCACCCCAGGACAGCTGCAGGGCAGAGCTCAGTGTGTCCCAAGTCCCCAGCTTGAGCCCTCAGGTACTACCCAAGGCCTGGGTGTCACCTGGTACAGAAACTACAGAACAGGTGATGTGCAGGCAACCATGTCTCTGCCTCTGGTGCCAGCAGCTAAAGGACCAGTACATGGCACCTGTGTTGGTCCAACAAAGCTCTGACTGACTTGCAGTGTAGTACAGGGGCTGCCTGTAAAACCCTGCACCTGAGGAGCCAGAGACCAACTGATCACCTTTTGCTAAGCCACAGTAGATGGAGACAGGCCAGCAGGATGTTCTTCTTCATGAGGCATCTCTCCCTTGCAGCCCCACCATATCACCCACCACAACCACAAAACCCACGTCCTTCCTCTCTTTGAGCTTTCTGCAGTTTTGGGTTTGGCTATTTTTCCCCTTAGCTTCTCACCTAGGAGCTGCTGATGAAT